AACAACATCATTTGGTGATGTTCGTAACATGCGTGTTCGTCTCTTTCTCATAATAAATTCAGCGCCCGCGTTCCTAATTTCCTATGCCGGCTGGGAGAACAAAATATAATTAAATTGCTTGTTAACAATACTCTCTCTAAATTGATAATACTTATTGTTTTGGACAACAGCACAGTCTCCAAAAAGTAACTTTGATAATTATTTTCTATTATAATATATATAGAAATATCAACAAATATATGGTTTCATTGAAGTACTTTTAAAGACTAATCTACACATATGGTTTTTATATTTTTAAGATAAATATTTTAGAAATTATTTGTAGTCAAAGATTTTAAAGTTTGAATTTACTCTTGTCCAAAACGACTAATATTATCAGCCCGGAGGGAGTACTGCAGTTGCTTGTTAATTATTTTAGGGTATGAGTATGAGTGTATGACTAGTTTACCAACTTTGCATCCACACAACTACATATTCAAATATCAGGTCAATATTTATCAATTCAGAATTTAGAGTTACTAAATCATCAAAAATATAATAATTGGGAGTCCAAACTGAGAACGAAGCTATATATTAATTAATCTTAAAATTTGAAATAATTGGATCATAGAAAATAACTAATTGAAACTCTGGAGTAAGTACAAGTGTACAACTTAATATGTATTAATCAATTATCATTTTTTAATAACTATAAATTTCAGAATTATTTAATCATCTAAAAACTTTAATTGAGACCCTAGAGTCATAGACCTTATGATATTTATTCTGGATTCAGAATTATTAAATCAACGTGAAAACTTTAATCGAGTCTACAGTCTACAGACCATGGCCACATTCTTCTAATTGCTCGTGCTTGGTATTTGTTCGCTGGCCAGTGCAGCCGTAGTTAGCACTTCCGAGCGCCGCCCATATTAGACTAAAAATATTATGTTTTGGAACTATTAAATTATCATAAAACTATATTGGGGACTTCTCTAGACTAAGTACAGGTCTAAATTTTTTATTTCTAGTTTTAGAATTATGAAATCATGAAAAACAATACAATTGAATCCAAACTGATCAATATAATTGGATATTTATAAATTCCAATATGATAAATCCACATATTTAGTGGTGGGAAAGTGTTACAATATATTTTATAGCTGTGCGCATGTAATTTTTTTCCCTTTTCTTTTAAAATTAATGGGAGAATTTTTGTAGTGTTCCTGACTTTACTGCCTCCATTTTTTAATATATGACCTGTTTTATCAACGCTTGACCATTCATCTTATTCAATTTTTTTTGCAAATATAAAAAGATTTAAATCATGTTTAAAGAAGATTTGGAGATAAATCAAGTCACAATAAAATAAATAATAATTACATATTTTTTTAGTAAGATGAATGGTCAAATGCATTTAAAAAGTCAACGGAACAGTACAGCTCACAAATACATGCTTAGCTCATCTTTATTAAGGCATATAAAAATGCGAGCACCCGTGTCAAATCTAGGATTTGAATCCGGGTGGGTTGGTTCCACCACAAGGAACCAAACCAGTTGAGCTATGCTCACTTTGCCGTACCCATGTTATTATGAGCATCTCAGAGAGACTAGGCCAGTATATTTTAAGATTAACGAATATATGTACACCATATTATTATGAACATCTCAGAGAGACTAGGCCAGTATATTTTAAGATTAACGAAGTCATCACGAACGTCTCGCTATCAAGTACGCCACCTACTGTTGGAAAAAAATAAAGTTGCAAGTGAATTTGAGTAAGAGATTTGAGAAGTTCCAAATCACACGTTCGGCCACATGGAAAAAGGGATACAAATAACTCGCATACAGAAAAATAATGAACTAATTAATTAAGAAAGATAAGGACCAAATAGGATTGGCCCCAAATATGAAAAACAATATTTATCAGGAGATTGAAACCACTCAAATTGCTCGTACAGATCATAAATAATTTCCATGTATAATTAACTAATTTTACACAAATAAAACAGTCAGATCAATAGACTGGATGATATCGATTGAATTCAACACATACGACTTAGCCAAGTGCAAACAAATGCCAAATTGTCGGAGTGACAAATACATGTCTGATTTGGATAGCCATTAATTAATTTGTGTATGTTAAAATAATATTCATATATATCTTGAATTAGTGTTTGTAGGCTAAAATAATCTAAGAAAATGCGAGAAGACAAGGGACAGAAAGGAGCAACAGATACATTATGTGTAATGTGGATATTCGTATAGCAACAATAATTGGATATCCATACTGTTACGTATTATGTCTACCTTCTATACTTAGATTGGTAGTAGAATATCACATGCATGTTTAGTATTGTATGGAGAGAGCTACGCATCAGACGTCCGGAGATTTTCAAATCTCTAGACGATGTTTTACTGTATGTTGAATGAATGTTACAGTGTTTCATCGCTCGAAAAAAATGTTTCAACATGAATTGTTTCTTGATGTTTCATCTTTCACTGAACAATATTTTACCGATTTATCGAAGATGTTTCAATCGAATGCAATACTCAAGAGCGTTGTCTGCAACAACAAAAACCCAATATATGCAACATCCGAAGAAACCAAATACAACATCCAGTACTGATTTAAGAAACATCCAGAAAATACGGCTTCAACATCACGAACACACTATGTGCAACAAAAAATATGTGGTGTGCAATAATCCTCACTAGTTCGATGTTGCCACAAGCCTCCTCACCTTCACCGGCGAGCTCAGAGCCCTCTCAAGTGATGGTGTCTCAAGCTTTTCTGTCATGCTGCCCTGGGCCGTTGCCGCCAACGTAGTTGTCGCTGTCCTCCTCCCTCTTCACTTCGCGCTTCCCCACTAACCGCCATCGCCCACGTGGCCACCTGCACCCTCCTCCCTCTTTGCTTCACGCTTCCCTGCCAACCACTGCCGCCCTCCTCCCTCTTCGCTTCACTCTTCCCTGCCGGCTGCCACCGCCCACGTGGCCGCCGGCGACTCCTTCCTCTTCGCGTTTTTGTGGCCGCTTGCGCAGGTGATGGCCCCGCAATCTCTCTCTGATGGTGTTCCTGTACGTGTGCTACCAAAAAAACGACGAGGGGGAGTGAGGATAAGGTTGGGGAAAAGATGGGTTTTGGCTGTGGGTCCCATCTTATGTGACCGTCCGGGGTTTCGTCTCGTATCGGACGTAGGATACTAAGCGTTTTGGTATTGTACGCAAAGGTATATTCAAATATGGGAACGTAGGAAATAAGAATACATACTCCTTTCTCGATAAGAGAAGTATCGGACTCTGACCCGTGAAATAAAAGATCTTATATGCTTGTATCCCACATTAACAATCCAATTCTACCTGGAGAAGTTGCTGCTCGTGTAAATTCATAAACTTTTGGAAGAGGAGGACATCAAATCATAAGTCATAGGCATAAGTCACATAGACGACCAGCAAGGAGGAAGCCTATAGCTAGCCGCTGACTTCAAGTCGTCGTATTAGTTGTCGATAAAGATTAGTTGGTAAGCTAGATTAGCTATTGCTCTCCCTTTGTAATTGATGTGATATATCGCATACACTACTGGGAAAACCCTTTGCAATCTCGGTTTGTAGCCCGCCGCCTGCCGCGCAACCCTCGGCCGGCGAGAGAGGAAAGAGAGAAAGAGAGGGGATAAGAAAAAGTGAAGGAAGTTGAAGAGGAGGGGGATAAGGGAGAGGAGTTTGCTAGAGGATAAGTGCGAGAGATTATATACGATGCGTTAATTTTTAGTCTCGGTTGGTGTACTAAAAATAGTAGGGGGACAAACACTTTTTAAACCAGGAGTACTAAAAATGATCTTTAATCCCGATTGATAACACCAACCGAGACTAAAGATCATAAAGTGGTGCTGGGCTTTTCAACTGGGGCTAATGTGGTTTTTGCACAACCCAACAAAGATCATTTCTCCAGTAGAGATTGCTATTCATATAAATTGGATTAGAGCTATTATGTGGAGGATGGATTCTAATTTCTCGGGTGGACGTCCACCCATTTCTTGCATGCCACCTAAATGATCATGAAAAAATTCCAAAAAAATTCACAAGATAGGTTAATATGTAATATATCACGTCACAAATATGCAAGTTCAAATTCGACTTCTATAAGTTGTAACAAAAATAACAAATCAAACTCTAACTAGTATACGTATATTCACAGTCAAATTTGTTATTTTTGTTATAACTTGTAGAAGTCGAATTTGAGTTTGCATGTTTGTGAAGTGATATATTACATATTAACCTATCATGTCAATTTGTTTAAAATTTTTTTTATAACCATTTAGATGACATGTAAGAAACGGGTGGACGTCCACCTGAGTGTTTAAAACAGTTTCCTTATTACGTGCCAACTTCGGAGACTTGTACCAGTACTTTTACCTAACCTCACAATACCAACATCCTCTCTGTACTTCTAAAATATAATTGGGTATAAACCCGTCGATACGTACGTACCTATCACGACTGTTTGAACGAGAATATTCGTTAAATCTATTATATAACAGGCCGGCCACAAACGGCCAGTTTTACATAATTAATTAATTGTTGGTTACCAAGGAATTTGAAGCACTAGTGTAACGCTAATAAATATGATCGATTTGAGTTGTGGATTTACAATAAAATAGATACACATACGACTTTTAGGGTTTGTTCGAAACTACATATGTTCTCATCTTTTACACCCTTATTTTTTACGCGCACGCTTCCCGAACCGTAAAATGGTATATTTTCTTTAAAATAAGAAAATTGTTTTAAAAAATTATATTGATTCAATTTCAAGTTTTTATTTATAGCTAATACTTAATTAATCATATGGTAATAAGGCACCCTTTTTAACATGGATATCTTTTCTCCCAAAGGAAGCCGCACATATAGCTTGCATGTCCAAAAAAAAAATACTAGTCTGTAACTAAACTTGCATGAAATACGGTTCAGTTCGATGGATAGTACACCTACGTTTTCCTATATAAACTAGATACTCCCGGCCGATGTTAAGCTCAAAGATTTGTTCCATACTGGGATTACTAGTTAGCTAGAGCATGGAGAAGGATATTTTGCTAGGCCACATTCATACGCGGCTCTCTGCGTTGTCACACTAATCATAGGATGGTTAACTCACTGGGTATACAAATGGATGAATCCCCCATGCAATGGAAAGCTTCCTCCTGGCTCCATGGGCTTCCCTGTTGTTGGTGAGACATTCCAATTCTTCAGAGCAAGTCCATCTGTAGACATGCCCAGCTACTACAAGCAGAGACTGGAGAGGTAATTAGAGATCATCAAACAGTTTGTACTCTCTTTTTTTTTCTTTTTTTCTGTTTTTTTTTTTTTGCAACAAAGACCTTAACACTATTGTTGATGTGAACAACGCAATATATCTATCTAAGTTTTATTAGGCCATATGATGGTCTGCTACTGAACTGAATTTAACGTAATGACCATTAATTATTAGGTATGGACCTCTCTTCAAGACTAGCCTGGTAGGTCAGCCTCTGGTCGTTTCTCTAGATCCAGAGGTGAACCGGTTCATATTTCAACAAGAGGGTAAGTTGTTCCGGAGCTGGTATCCAGAAACTGCAAATAACATCTTTGGCAAAAAGAGCCTCACCACGTACAATGGAACCGTTCACAAGTTCATCCGGAGCTTTGCGTCCAAGCTCTTTGGGCTGAAAACCTGAAAGAATCGCTCCTTCCCGAGCTGGAAAACTCCATGAGGGAGAGCTTCGCATCATGGGCTAGTAAACCAAGGATCGAGGTGCAAGACGGCGTATCAGACGTAAGTTATTAACAGATGCATGAATTTTCGCTCAATTATGTGATGATAATAGTTCAATATATATATGTTCCAACAAATTAAGGCACCTCCGATCCACTGCTGTTCGATTTGCAATCATTAGACAATAGCACTGTGCACACTGTACTAATGTTTTACTGTGATTTGTACTTTTGCAGATGATCTTCGACCTAGTAGCGAAGAAGTTGATCGGCCTCAATGTGACCCAGTCAAGAGAATTGAGAAAGAACTTTCAGGAGTTCTTCCAGGGGATGGTGTCTTTCCCAATATATTTCCCAGGGACATCGTTCTACCGATGCATGCAGGTATATATATATTTCTATGGTCCAACCAGCTCGATTAGGGCATATTCATTTACTTTATGATAAATAACTATTTTCTGAATATTAACTAAGAATCTATAGGACCCTGTACTTCTAGAATTTGTACTGATTCAGTTATATATATCTGATTATTCTTTTCAGGGTAGAAAAAATGTGCGGAACACACTGACTGATGTAATGAAAGAGAGGCTAAGTGCACCTGAAAAGAAGTACGGTGATCTTGTTGACCTCATTGTTGAAGAGCTACAAAGCGAAAAGCCAGTGATTGATGAAAATTTTGCTATAGACGCACTTGCTGCGCTTTTGTTTACGAGCTTTGCAACACTATCATCGACGTTGACTGTAGCCTTAAAGTTCCTCAACGACAATCCTAAAATTGTTGAAGAGCTCAAGGTTTATAGTTTTGTTACTTCCTTCATTTTATATTATAATTAAGTCTATATTATAAGTCACTCTGATTCTTTTTTTTTACTAATCAAACCAAGTTTCTTTGATCAAGTTTATATAAAAATATAATAATATTTTTCTAAACCAAAACAAACATATATTAAAATATATTCAATATTGGATTTAATAAAACTAATTAATTAATTTGTTGCCAAAGATGTTGTTACATTTTTCTATAAATTAGATAAACTTAAAAGATGTTTGACTTAAAAAAAGGCAATGTGATTTGTAATATGAAACAGAAGGAGTACATGTTAACATATATTCGAGAAACATAGGGACAAACATTGAAAGTTTGGACTCATGGTGAATAAAAAGATAGCACCTCTTCATTTCATTTCAGGAGGAGCACGATGTGATACTGAAGAAACGAGAGGTCATGAATTCTGGGTTTACATGGGAGGAGTACAAGTCCTTAAAATTCACTACTCAGGTTATTTCACTTAAATTATACTTATGTTTGAACGATCACTGAAGCCACAATGATGCTTTTGGTAAAATTGCTTTTGTTAATTTGACTTAGCTTGTTTTTATGTGAAGGTTACGAATGAAATTACTCGAATTAGTAATGTTGCACCTGGAGTTTTCAGAAAAACACTGACAGACGTGCAAGTGAATGGTAAACTTCACAAATAATAAGAAAAAACATTACTATTCATGAGTATTACATCATGACACACGATTGGTTATTAGAATAATATTTGGTTTTTGCACAGGATATACAATTCCGTCCGGGTGGTTAGTCATGATTAGCCCCATGGCAGTTCACCTAAACCCAGAATTGTTTGAGGATCCACTCAAATTCGATCCATGGAGGTGGACGGTTAGTGGAAAACATTTCAAATATTCCATTTTTTTAGTAGCCACAAGGATGAATTATTGTTAAATTCATCTTCACTTGGACTATAAGGTACCACAATGCTTCTTTCTTGACTCACTAAAACCAATGGCAAATATAGGAGGAGAAGAGAAGCTCACTGCTGAGGAATTACATGCCATTTGGAGGAGGCATCAGGTTGTGTCTCGGCGCAGACTTCAGCAAGCTTTTTATCGCACTTTTCCTCCACATCTTGGTGACCGAGTACAGGTACATTCGCATGCTGGTGTTCACTCATTGCTTGTTAAGCTCACTCAAGTAGTAGTTTGTAACTGATGTACATTTCTAACTTTGCTTTTTTTATCTTTTGCCCGATGAACTCTCTGTTTAGATGGAAGGAGATTGAAGGAGGGGAAGTATTGCGCATCTCAGAGATTATGTTTCCACAAGGCTATCACATCCAACTAATTCCTCGTACTTAACATACCTATCTTATATATTCCAGGACCGTAATAAAAAAAATGTGTGAATCCAACACTTTGTTGCACATCTTATTGCAACTGTAATATCATCCTGTATGTATGTGAGTATGTCGTCAGTTTGCATGAGTCAAGAAATATTATGGGAGTAAATAGGCATGAACTAGGGCACCAGCCTTTGGACGACCCTAGGCTGGCCTTACTACTAAATATATTTCATATTTTCATCATAGTCCTCTTCTTTTTATGTGTGCAAATTTTGATTTCTATATATTGTTCCATTTAAGTTCCGTATGGTTTTTTTCCTATATTTGCTAATAAAGCATACTAGGACATGAAAAAATCCTTTGGCTTGGCCGTCCGATGGGGAGAAAGAATATCGGGCTTATCCATTCCTCTCCTCTTTCTCCATCATTTCTCTCACCGTAAGAAACGCGCGCTTCTCCTCCCGTTCCTCCTCCGCGGCGGTGATGTCGCTGAATGCCGCCACCCTCATTCCCCACCTGGCTGGAATCTGCCAGTGGATGTGTCGACAGCAGCAATAGCCAGATCCCCAGCCTCGACCTGGTAGCCATCGTAGCGGCGGCGGCCCGTGGCCACCACCCTCGCGGCGCTGTGCGGGACCTTGCCACCAATGCGGTGTTGTCACCGACGATCTGGCTAACCATGGCGGGAAGGAATAAATTCAGTACCCTTTTTACTCGGTGCAGTACCCACTCACAATAACACTTTCCATGGGGACCAACGGAACAGAGCAGGAGGGATTTCCTGAATTCAAAAGCAAGAGTAGTTCAGGTAGGAAGAGGTTGCTTGCAAGGCTAGACTAAGCCCAAAGAAGATATTAACAAGACCGTATTTAGATGCCCTGGTCCAGAGTTGGTGCCTATAAGTGGAGAGTAATGCGGTCTCAAGAATTGAGGATGGGAACGACTAATGCTCAAACGCATCGGACTGAAAAGGAGGGAGACTCTCAACCAGAGCTGTTAGCAGAGGAAATCTTTCTGCCTGGATCTGGAAAGGTCCGTGCCGACGACTTCTGTCACAATCCAGATCTTAAAACGACAATATGCATTTCTCAAGACTGAATGATATTCTCGTCTTGACTATACTACAGGGAACATTTCAAAATGGAAAATGAAAATGAATCAACCTATCCAAATGCCTTTATTTTGAAACCTAATATACCCAAAACTAGACTATTGTTGAGTTTATGCGCACGATTTCATCGACACTTGTAGCTGAGCAGCAAAATAAAAAACAAGTGCTTATACGATAATTTCATTGCCAAAAACTTCCGGAAAGCTGCAATCCATCATTGGATAGCTGAACAGAAGAAACAAACCGAAACACTACTTACGAGTTTATGTGACAAGGCAATTTCTGAATTAAAGTGTAAAAGCGACACTCACCGGCTTGGTTTAGGAATCGATAGCCTACACAATAAATAAAAGCAAAGGAAAAGTGTTTTGCTCAAGTCTCGACTCAAGGACATATTCGAAGAAATTCTGACCCTCGGTCGGGATGGTTTGTGGATTACGAACAGCTATGATAACTGAATCTAGCAAGATAGTAATTACAACACAAGAAGTGATGAGTACTTGGGCATGAATTTGGAAACCTCCTATTTGTCAATAGAAGTGTTGACCTACTTCTACACCTGATATATCGTATAACCCCTTGAGTGTTTTAATGGAATATGGTACAATATTCATATTGTCCTTTGATAGAAATTGAACTTCAAAAAATAAAAAGATGATTCTCGCTTCTGCCAACCAAAGGGCGCTAGCCCTGTCTTTCCCAAAAAGTCTCGTCTTGTTTACTTTCCCTAGGGAGGACAAAGATTAACCAATAGTAGTTCCGAGGATTGTATGAGCTAGGTCCGAACTGTTTCTATTAGTAGCAACATGAGGAGCCCCGAAGGGAGAATAAGAAAGATTAACCGACGCCGCGTTTTCAGAAGAGGCAATTGGATAAGAATCATACGCTACGAATGAGCAGACGAATCGACCGAGGGCTTACACACAAGAACAGAACCTAACTCTACCTCCTTTTCCTCCTTTCCTCTTTACCGCCCCCGCTATACTATCAACAGGTCAGTCAATATCTGTAGTAGAGAAAGAAGAGCCCAGGTCATCAATTAGTAATAATAGAATAATCCCAGTAGTAGTCTTCTTGCCTCGCGGAGTCAGCCCTTAATGGGCTGACCAAAGATTGGACATTGTTGTCTAAGCGTGCTTGCTTAATTTGCGCACCGGCACAGCTGAATGAGAATCCGCTGGCTAAGATTGAGCGGCTCACTTCCTTGAGAAGGGATTTCTATAATTAACTAAGAAATGAGAATTGTTGACCCATATGATCTCAGGCTCATAAAGAGCATGAAACTGATAATTTCATTCCCACTTTGAGATTGAGCTCGTTAGTGATCTTTTCCAAGGTGTATAGAGAAACCTGCTTTGAACATGACATTCGTACCCAAGGAATTTTTGGGTGATTTTTTGATGTTTCAGTCTATGTATATGGATGTTTCATTAGTTAGATTGAAGTTGTTTCAGTGGGGTTTTTTTTTCTGTTGTTTCATTTTTTGTCATCGATTTCACTTTGGATCTTGTTGATGTTTCACTGGCTTTAAATCATTTGTTTTATATGTTGAAGCAAATTGTTTCATCTGGAGATCCAATTGTGTTTTACTATTTCCAAGAACTAAAACATTCTTTCACTAAATAATGAAACATTGTTTTACGAGGAGTGAAACGGCGCCCGATTTTTGAGAAAAAAATCGGGCGCCCGATTTGTACTTGTTTCCTAGGACATGGTGCTGTGCTTTGTTCGGTAAGCGCGTTACGTGAAATCAGGTATCACTTGATTTTTTTTATTGAAATTTGAAGATATGCTTATGGTAAGTAGAAAAGTTAGCTTCAAAACTTTTATCTATAACATGGTGTGCCCCATGATTGGGCTAAATAACTATGATTGCAAATAAGAAAATGGATACCACTCAAGTGTATACATGGCTTAATATAAATAAGTCCTTCACAAATTCACTGCTATGCGCAGATTTTCTGGTTGTAATCAATCGGAGTATTCTAAGAATGTTTAAATATAAAACATTTGGAAAATTCATTCGGAGAACAACCACTTGGGTGGTACGAGGACGACTCGGAAATAAAGTCTGTTGAGAGAAAAAGCATTCAGGCTAAGATTGAAGTCAAATAGAAAAATACTAAAGATAGAGTCAAGGACTCGAGGCTATTATAGATAACATAGACCCTAGGTATCACTCGGCGGGCTTTATCTGACTAGACAAGAAGGTGGCCCAAGCCGCGTGATACAACTATATAATAGAATTTCTTACTTATTGCACAAGGTATGGTATAAACTTCTTTAAGGATACTTGTGTATTTACTATTAGATAAATATAAGAAAACTGAAGCCGTATATGGCTAGGTAATACCCCTGCCCCTCGACCAATATATAGCATGGGCAGGGATCCTGGCATCGAGGGAAGCAATCTCATATATACAACACCACCGTAAATAGAACTAGGGTATTACCTCTCGGCGAGTGTCTAATATAAATCCTTGTTTTCTGTCACCATCTAGAATTAGGCTCGATGCATCATAAACCCCTGTTAGTATTACCGATATAAACATCAACACCGTGGCAAGCCGTGATTCACCGGTCAATTTTGCTATATATTTGTCGACAGATACAATTACAGTACAATCGTAATGTAATTACACTGTAACTATAATGTAACTTGTATGTAATTTTCAAAAATCTCTCTGTAACATGTTATTTCGGTAAAATGAAGGTCTTGGGAACAAATCCTTTCACATATGTATGTGCTGTGATTTTTTTCTTCCTCACCAAAACAAATATTGTAATAAACCTAACGATTCAAAATTATGTGAAACTTATATACAACACTGTAGTTGCATGCATTTTTTCTTCCTCACCAGAACAAATATTGTAATAGACCTAACGATTCAAAATTATGTGAAACTTATATACAAGTGACACTGTAGTTGCATACAAGTTACAGTGTAATTACATATAAGTTACAGTGTAATTACATTACAATTGTACTATAATTACATCTGTCAAATTTTTAGGAGAAAATTTATCGACGAATGTATAGGTGGTCCCAAACGATATATCGATCTGACTATGGGATGGAAGCCAAGGGAGCAGGGTTTTTTCGAAAAGGGAAGGTATAAAGTGGGTGGTTTTCTGTTAAATTCCTCCCTAATTTCCAGCCATTGGATTGAGATCGGATGGATGTGCTTGTGCGAGTGCATGTGTGTACGGAACAGCCGGAGTGCAACTGATACATTGCCTTCTGCACTAGGCTCTATATAGATGGCCATAAGGCCCGCCCGGCATAGCCCGGCGCAGGCACGGGTTTGGCACGGCTTAAGGCGATCGGGCTGGCACGACACAGTTGGCACTTTGGGCCGTGCCGTGCCGGCCCACGGGCTGCACCTCAGGCCCAAGCACGTTGTCGTGACGGCCCGAAGGTACGGGCGGCCCATCGTGTCTTCTTTAAAATAGGTCTATTTCCTCTCCCTCCTCTTTGGGCTGTGACACATATAGAAATAAGTTAATCTGAGGTCCCTTAACTTGTCAACGAATCCAATTTTCGTCCTTAAACCAGAAAACCAGATATAATGGGTCCTTCGACTATCAAAACCAGATATAACGGGTCCTTCATCTTAGGCTCGATGGCGGTTTGGACGGCGGTTTTTGCTTACGTGGCATCGACGTGGCTAAATTGTCCCGGTCTTCATCTGACGTGGCAATGATGTAGCATTGACGTGGCAATTTGATTCGAAGATTAATAAAAAAGAGTGACCTCACATGTCAGTTACACCAAAAGAACTAATTAAAAAATGCTGGGGCCATGTGGGCCCCACATGTCATTCTCACCCCTCCTCTTCTTCCTCCTCTCTCTCCATCTCCCTCTCCCTCTCCTCTCTCCAGGAGCACACCTGCATCACTTGCCGCTTCTCGTCGAACCCATTGGCCTGCATCTTCGCGTCGATGAGCTCCATTACCTTGGATTGCTCGTACAGCCTCCATGCCTGAAAAAAATTCAGAATGAAAAAAGGTTTTTGTGACAGTGTTGTAAACTCGTAATGTAGAGTTGGGTTCAGAAAAGATTCAGACATGTTCAGGCAGGGACTGAATTTCGTTCGGGAAAGAGAGATCCGTGTTCTTCCTGCTGCTGACGATCTAGAGAACGAGAACTCCAAAGCTATGTGTCAGCTTTCACCATGAGCTCCCCTCTGATGGCGTACTCAGACGCCTTGTAGCCCCTGAAAATCCATGGATCACAAAGTTCAGAAACAAAAATTACAGCCTTCCCATGGTTCACGTGTTCGGACTACCTCGTCATCCAAGCCATCGCCGCGTATGACGGCGATGAACGTATGGCGACGCCTTCATCGCCGCCAGATGCGCCGGTTTCGTCCGATGCTTCCCTCTCCTCCGCAGCTTCCCGATATAAGCACGACGCCGTCGCCGCCGGCGTCCATGGTTTCGATGCATCCCACCAGCTCGATCGCAGTGGTGAGCGCTCCGGCCAACTCTACGGCCGAGAATAGTAACACCGGATCGCCGCACCCGCCCGTGCACGCGGCGGTGGCAGGCGCCGCGACGGCGGGGGCCTTCCTGGCTCTTCTCTTCTGTTGGCCTCCGTGGTCATTGACGGCTGTGGAAAAGTGGCAGCGGTGGTACCGTGGTAGCCGGCCGGCGAGGAAGCTCGAGGAGAGAGGAGGATTGGCCGGGAGGAAGAGGAGAGGAGGTGCCGACCCGTCGTCGTCCGTGGAGATAGCCCACTATTTTTATTTAATCTTTTGTCTGACAGACTCGTGGGCCCCACATTTTTTGTTTTTATTTTATATTTTATATTTTGCTTGCAGCGCCACATCACCGCCACGTAGGACGAGGGCCAAGTCAAATCAGCCACGTAGTCGCCACGTCAGCTGATACCGTCATCCAAACCGTCGTAGGATCTTATTTGTACCGATTTTGATAATTGAGGGACCTGTTGTATCTAGTATTTCGGTTCAGGGATAAAACTCGAACTCGCTGTTAAGTTAAAGGACCTAAAATGAACTTATTCCACATATATATAGCTAAAATAAGTCTATTTTTCATATGTCTAATAATGTCACATAATATGTCTATTTTTCCTCCCTATTTTTTTGACGTGCCTTAAATATGGTTGAGAATAAATCTGTTTCGTATCCCTAAACTTTGGGCCTGGCCTTGCCAGCCTAGCGTACCGAAGTAGTAGCCCAGACACAGCATGGCTGTTGGGCTGGGCCGACATAGGCACGACCAGAGTCGAGCCGTGCTATGCCTGGGCCGGGACAAAATCACCGGGCCTTGAACGAGCCATCGGGACTCAGGCCATATGGCCATCTATAGAGCTCTATCCTAGTTGGCTCGTCGCATACAAACGCGGACACCACAACTCTATCCTTTGCACGTCCGCCTACAACATGCCACGCCACCGCCAGCAGTCAGCCTCAAGATGCATATATCCATCCAATCACCTGCCTCTGTCTAATCACCATCATGCAGATGGCTCAGTGAAAGTCTCCCACAATACAGGGTGTTCAGATTTAGGGGTGAAAAGTTTTCGGAATTGCTAACTATAGTTTGATAGATTTACGAGCCTTCCATCATTCTTTTTTTTTCCCGTAGGACATGGTTTTTGAGATCCGTGCTAGCACTCTAGCTGCTAACTAACTAGGTCTATGTTACTGTTCCCTAGTTGTTAAACTAGCTGTACGTGTTTTTCAATGCTAATTTATTTATGATCTCACGCATACTAATTACATCGTACTTACATTATAATTACATATTAATTACATATGTAATTTTACTATATTTACGATATAAATCTGAAAATTACATATGTAATTTTAGTGTATTTAGGATGTAAGTCTGAAAATTACATATATAATATATAATTTTAGTGTATTTACGATGTAAGTTTGAAATCTACTTGAGCCCATTTGAGCACCGTGAGCTTAGATTGTCCACGTGGCCCTTTTATTTGTTTTTTGTATTTTGTTTGTGTATATTAATGTCATCCGTTAGATGTTGATCTAAAGGGTAAGAAATCTGCATGATAGGATGCTAAAAAATCTGTCTCATAATGTATAGGCAGTCCCAAAAGTTTTACAGTGTCATATTGGATATACAGACACATATTTAAAGTATTAAATATAGACTAATAACAAAACAAATCACATATTCCGCATGCAAAATACGAGACGAATTTATTAAGCCTAATTAATCCGTCATTTGCAAATATTTACTATAGTACCACATTGTTAAATCATGGAGCAGTTAGGCTTAAAAGATTCGTCTCGTAATTTTCACGCAATCTGTGTAATTATTTATTTATGTTCGTTTATATTTAATACTCTATATACGTGTCCAAACATTCGATGTGACAGGGTCAAAAATTTTATCAGGGGATCTAAACAGGCCCACAGCTTCCACACCATCGAGCAGCAAGCTACTAGCATCTTGCATTCCTTCGAGTTAGGGTGTGTTTAGTTCGCGAAAAGAAATTTTTTTGGTGTTACATCACACGTTTGACCGGATTCGGAAGGGGTTTTCGGACATGAAGGAAAAAACTAATTTCATAACTCGTCTGTAAACCACGAGACGAATTTATTAAGCCTAATTAATCCATCATTAATATATGTGGATTAGTGTAGCACTTATGGCTAATCATGGACTAGTTAGGCTCAAAAGATTCGTCTCGCAATTTCCATGCAAACTGTGCAATTAGTTTTTACTTTATCTATATTTAATGCTCCATACATGTATCTAAAGATTCGATGTGATGTTTTTGGAAAAAAAAATTTGGGAACTAAACAAGTTCTTAATTAACAGCCCAAACCAACCATCAAGCAGTAGCTCCATGTACATAATCTCCAACCACTACGCCGGACTAGGTCATCTCTGACGGGCCCAAACCCTCACCTTTGACGGGTTTGGTCTTGGTCAGTGATTAGTGGTCACTGATGACAAAATCACCTGTGACGGATGAAACACCCGTCACAGATAACCCATCTCTGACCGGTATATAAGTCATCTCTGACGGGTTAAAACTTGTCACCCGTCACAGATGAGTCATCAGTGACGTGTCGTAACTACCTGACCGTCACTGATGACTCATCTCTGACGGGTTGTAACTTACGACCCGTCACTGATGACAAAGCAAGAAATACAATTTTTGAATTTTAAACGTAACAAAAAAACCTCAAAAAAATATTTTGAATTTTACTAGCCATCCTATACATGGTTACACATCACTACCTACAAATTCACAATTTTTCACGCAATATAACTTGTATGCTACAAGTGAGATTCGAACTCAAGACCTCAACCTCCATATAGAGCTCCCTTACCAACTCACCTACTTAACACATATTGACTACTAACCCAATGTTATTATTTTGTCTATGCTTGTCTGAATCATTTAACATATATTTAACACCCTAAATGACTTCAAATGAAAATATTATCAACTAAATAGTTATAGATCTCATCGTGTTTTATAACTTTTACATAGAAAATATCTTCATCCGATGTTGTTTGAAGAATTCAAAATTTCATTTTTCAAAATATATCTCACTTTATAACATGTAAATTTTGTGAAATGAAAATATTTTCAATTATAATGTTGTAGATCTGATTGAGTTCTATGACTTTGATACGGGGCATGTATCCATCCATGTCATTTGAAAAAAAAAACTCAAAATTTTGTTTTTAAAAGTAGATCTGATCACTTGTAATGCATGTTCGGGGATGTAAACGATCTCTAATAGAAATGTTGTTAGTTATAAAGTTGTGGATATCATTGAGAGCTACAACTTTTATATAGGACATGTTTCAATCCGAGGTTTTTTGCAAAATTTAAAAATTTGAATTTTCACTCATCACTGACGGGTCATAACTACCACCCGTCAGAGATAACGTTATCTGTGACGTGTGTTAGTTAAAGACCCGTCAGAGATGAGTGGTCTCTTTTGTGATGGTTCATAATACTACACCCGTCACAGATGACATGTCATCTGTGACGAGCCATGGTTGTGACCCGTCACAGACGATCTGTGACGGGTTACAAGTGCAAGCCGTCACAGATGACTTCACATCTGTGACGGGTCCTCCCTGGTAGCCATATATTGAAGAGGATATTTTTTCGGCCCGTCAGAGATGACTTATCTTTGACGAGTTGCGTTGGCTCGTCACAGATGACCCGTCACTGAAGCCCGGATTTATAGTAGTGAACCGGATTAAAAATACCAGTCACCAAGTAACTCACAGATTCAATCTTGCACCAAATATTCCTGCACATATAAACTGCCCTAACCTTATAACTAAACCACTAACTAATCACACCAACTATTCTACATAATTTTGCCTGCCTAAATGCACTAACTATTAGCCAAATTATAGTACAAACAGAGACGTCTGAGGTATAAATACAGGACCCCAGAAGAGAGGAGAAAAGCCAACACAAGCCCAAACAAGGCCAATACGATCTAGCGAGCGTATAATTCTTTTTCGAGGAAGCCGACAACTATTAGCCGTCGATCACCTACTCGAGCGTTACGCCGGTAGGCTGATAGAGACTAGATTAGGTTCTCCTCCCTATTATACTCGTGAGAGATTGATTATATAATGACAACACCAGTTTTAGCCAATAAAAGTAGGGCTATTACCCATCAGTATGGGGCCCAAACCTGTATAATAATCCTTGTTTTCTATCACTTTTATTGTAATCTTGCTCATACCTTGGTATCAACGTCCCCTTGCATTACAAATGCTGTAAGTGGGTACAGCCTATGGACAACCTTAATGATTAAATATGATATTTATTAATCAAGTATTATTTATAAGGTGCAGTCACAACACCCGGCCATTACAAGTTTCTCATGAAATCCAAAGACAAATAACCCTAAAGTTTTTATGTCTAAATCTTGACTTATCTTTATGGCATAGCCTCCGTTTATTTTATACTTAGAACCTCCTAGTCAAAGTAGAAGCAAAACTCTTAGTTTCACTATGAGTCAATCACTCAATTTACCGAACAGTTTTGCTAACGAAACCAAATCACAATTGCTTTAAAAAAATTAATTGGATCCATGCCATTATAAATATATTGTATTAAAAAATACTACTACTATTCATCAAATCAGCTCAGTGCCATTGGTATTTTCTAAAATTAGAATAATACCACTGTGTACTCCCTCTGGTTCTATATTAATTGATGTTTTGGACAAGATTGAGATTAAACTTTTATAACTTGGACCATTAATAACTTTAAAAATACTTAGTTTAAAGAAACTAGAAAAACATATATTGATTTGTTTTTCAAAACACTATAATAAAAAGTAAACATGCATTTATTTATTGTATATATTATAATAGAAAAATAAGGTCAAAGGTATATCTTGTAGAGCGTGTCATTGTCTAAAGCGTCAATTAAAATGAAACCGGAGGGAGTATGCATCAGCCACCCCTGTACTCATTTTTTTGGTTTGGTATTTTCGTATGGGCCATTTTGCCCTTCTCTCCCAACCTTTTGCCCCCTCTCCCATCGCCGGGCGCCGGCAAGCTAGGACAATATCCTCGAATCAGATCGGTCTTCCCTAATCCCTCCCTCCCGTCGTTGCAATGGGAACAGCATTGGGAGCAAGCGGAAGGGCGCCAAGGTGATGGCCGGCTGATGCCGCTGGACAGGACACCATTAATTCCTCATCAAGACGCCGGCGCCTCTGCTCAAGCCCTCTTCCTCCGTGGCCCCGTCCCGACCTCCCCACTCCCCGGCGACGGATCCGGCACGGCCCTCCCTTCCTCCTCCCTCCAACTTCCACTGCCGCTGGGCCGAGCTCCTCCGACGGGCGACGGGCCCTTGACCGAGGCAAGGGGACTAGAAGTGACGCGCCGTCGCTCCTCCGACGACCAGCATGATGCCGCGCGCACCGCCGCCGAGCTTGACGAGGTCGGCTCGTTTATGGGCACTCACGAAGAACGGTTTTTCTCCGTTTCTGGGAACGAATCGACGAGATTCCATGAGATTTCCTTCAGTTTCTCGTCTCAGTTTTGCTTCTGGTTTTGGGTTTTCACGTCACTGCATGATGGCATGATGCAACGATCGATCTCTCAAGATTCCGTGATAATAGTCCAGCCAACACCAAGGTGAAGCTTATCGGGATGTTGATGAACTGCTGCTCGTGGAAATCGATTCTTGTGATCTCGTCACAACTGAGAAAAACTAAAGCGGAGTGAGCCGTCGTCGGCCTCAACGAGCTAAAGAGAAGATAAGGCTGAGGAAGAAGAAGATAAAGGATTAAGGGTATTTTGGTCCATACGAAAATACGGTACACAAAAAACTAGTCTAAGCATGTACTGGACGTATATAATGGCATGATTCAAATTTTAGAAAATACCAGTGGCAGTGAACCAATTTAATGAATAGTAGTGACATTTTTTCAATGTATGTTATTTGCAGTGGCATGTATTCAATTAACCCTGAAAAAATATATAGGGGCTGGCAAGAACGCACGACACATAGTTGCCCCTTGTTTATTTTAATAAGCTGAATAATGAACAACAGGCAACGACGTACATGAGGTTAGTTTATTACATTATTACAATTGGACGACGTATGCGATAATTATATATATGGGAGATTGTGAGACAGGTATAGTAATACAAATGATCATAAAAACAACGACACACACATGCATTAACTGTTCCGGCCGTACGTGATGATGTCCGAATGTGAATTAAGGTCGTCCATGTACGTGCTTAATATCTTACCCTGCCCTTGCCCACTTACGAATTGCTGGGAGGCCGAAGATTAGGATGAAGGACCAATAGCGTTCCCCCACATATATAGTGAAGCCTACCACAGAGTCTCGAATTGACAGCTTCCGGTTTCTTGCAATAGCAATGCCGAAGAGAGACTCGATGCCTTCTGATGCCTTGCTGAGCAGAAGTGCAAGCATGACCATCGCGGCAGCGATCGCGATCGCAATGGTGCGGCCAACCGGTGGAAGCAGCACCACGTAGAGTCCCAAAGCTACAGCGGCCGCCAAGCTTCTTCCAGAATTCATCATCAGGCTATATGCAAAATTAATGTGGCGGAGGCGGACCTCGAGTTTATAAGCAGGCACCCCGGCATAGAGCAGGACGGACGTAGCCATGAAATAGCAAACGAATGCTAGAGCGTCAGAGAGGATAAACGCATCGAAAGCGTAGCACCCACGCCCAGCAAGCAACGGCGTGCCGGCGGCACTGCCACCATCGCCGGCAGACCGGTAGCCTCCGGGCAACGTGAAAACCGACGCAAATGTCACGGTTGTGATGAGGACGGAGAAAAGGGCCAAGACTTGCGTTGCAGCTGTTACATTCTCCAACATCTTTTCCTCGCCTCCTTTAAATTTGGGGTCGACGATGATGGCGTGTCGTTTTTTGTTGAAGATGTGGCTCTGACTTTCACCATATGGAGCTCCCAATTTCAATAGCAATGTTCGTATGTGGACTCTTAGATCCTGCATGTTTGCAAGAATATGTACGTTCGTGTACATATATATAAAGGTTAATAGATATCTATCTTCCTCTTTAAATAGAATAAGAGAAGCTAAGATTTACACGCACTATTACTTACCCATGCATAATAACATTTTAGAGGCATCATGCTCCATGAAACATCAATAGGTCTCATGCCCTTCTTATTTAATTCGGTACGTCCAAGCGTTCCTTATGACACCAAATAAGGCGTCGGAAGACTCCAAGATCTCCAGCATGGATAGCGCGGTGTCCCCGTTATTGTCCTGTGCATTCAGGATCAATGCAAACCTTTCCTTCCTCTTCCAGTGGCATACATACTTAACCACTCCAAACCTCTTCTTCTCAACAGCAGCGTGGAGGAAAGTTCTTCCTCTCGCATCTCGCAGAGTGGCGCAGTCTGGGTGTTTCTCAAGCAGGATCTTCACGGTCTCCAGGCTGCCAGCCGACGCGGCGGCGTGTATTGGGTACATCCCTTGGTTGTCCGGCTGGTACGCCGCGAATTCGTTGGCTTTCAGCAGCAGCTCCACCGGCTTTGGCCGCCGCAACGGCGCCAAAACTCGCGGAGAACATATGGGAATATATAGTGCCGACGGTAACCCGTTAATTGATGCGGCCAAGTGAAGAGGTGTGCTCCCGTTGTCATTGTCCCTCTGGCTACTGAGCCGCGCGAGGAGTTCATCATCAGCTGCCACATGCCGGTGATCCCCACCTTCTTGTTGCCGCATGTCGGCCGCCATCAATTGCTTATCGTTGAACCATTCCAAAACCATATCTAGCGCTGCAATATTATATCCAATATTATGGAGCCCGTACAAATGCGCGGGCATCTTAATTATTTAATGTTATTGATTGGAGTACCGAAAGAAGTTATATCTCACTGTATTCACTTTAAGTGATGGTAGATTACCTTATAATGAAAATGAGAAAAAACTGCATCTTATACAGTCATTGTGTTTTTAATAGATGGATCGTTGTATATCTGTGTCAATAAAATAGTCCTAATACACACTTAAAAAATTATATCTATAACATACCCATTAATTTGGGACGGATGAAGTATCTGGGTGTTCATGTCTCATTTATTTTCAAATCTATGTATAAATAGTCTAAAAATTCTGCTTCTACTAGATAATAGGATAACGTAGTAAAAATTAGACATATAATAGGGTAACAGTTAAAATTAAAAATATAATACGGTAACAATTAAAATTAGACATAATTGTCCATCTAATAGGTAAAGCCCACCGTAGCCACCAAGGTTATCTTTTATGATACATTAAAATATGGGTCCCACATCGATGTAGTCGTACGACCAGTGAAGCATAATTTTAATGCTTAGTTCACTATTGACATACTTACCAAGGATTGCATTCGTCAATAGGCCACTTAAGCTATATTGCCAACAGCAACCTTTAATTTCATTGGGGCCATCCCAGCTCAGCCATATACATGCCGCTATGTTACTTAGGACATGATAGCTAGGGGTGGGCAGAAATAGACCGAGACCGAGACCGAGAAATTCGGTCATCAATTCGGTCCTAGGTAGTGAAAGACTGAATTTTGTTCGGTCAAAAAATAGTTATCAAAAAATATCTAAATATAATGTACAATCACTATGTTTAATAGGATTAAACTCTAATTTTCACATCCCTACTTCTTCTAGGCATGCAATCTAATAAGAGTCTTTACTCATAAGTGCTTATGAATTTTTTTGTGATTTTTGTGTTGAAAATTTCCATTATTTCTTTGCATATATGAAAATGTTGTTGAGTTTCGGTCAAGACCGAGACCGAGACCGAAAAGACCGAGACCGAATTTATCGCTCTTGACATTTTTTCACTGAAATTCGGTCTTCACTTTTCAAAGACCGAAAAGATCGAAAGACCGAAGACCGAGACCGAAATTTTCGGTTAGACCGAATGCCCACCCCTAATGATAGCAATCTTTGCTAGCCATATGCAAGAAAGGATAGGGAGGAAAAAAGATGGAGGTGACGAAGTTTCTTTTTAAGTTAGTCGATTAGTGGTATAGAATAGACACAATTTGATTATGGTGTTAATATTTATCACTCAAAATTTAATAATATAGATACATTTTGAGCGGTGTTAGATCATCTGACACAAGTTAAAAAAAATATAGCTAAAGAGACATACAAAGTATGTTAGTTTATATTTTGACAAAGTATGTTAGTTTAGTTTAGTTCCTGATTTGTTTCCAACATTTATTGTTTATAATTACATTAGACACATTTACTAACTCTAAGAAAGTATTTATTTTCACAAACTAATTTACAATAACAAATTCATTGAAGTGCACTTTACAGTCGGGTCATTGAGGTTATGACATCGCATTTTATGCCCGATAAATTGAAATTTTTAACTATAAGAAAAATACAACAGAGTAATTTAATGTGTATCTTACTAAATTGTTTGTTTGTAACCAAAACTAATTGGCAAGAAAGAAAACCTACATTAATTACCATAAATTTTGAGATGGATTAAGAGCTTGTCTTATAGAAAGATCATGGACTGAAATTTATTTATTTATTCATATCTATCTATCATGTCTGCTTCCCACTCTGCAAATAACAATAAAAGAGTTTTGAAAAATTTCAAACAAAATTCTGTTTTCATTTTTACATGAGTGGATTCAAATTAGTGTTCTATTTATCAAGTGATATTTGAAAATATGACATGACATTATTTGAAAATTTATTATTAATTGTTACATGTCGGTGTCATATGTCATATTGTATTTAGCACAGTGATATAGCCGTCAATGATTCATTTAGTTTCATGAATATATTGTGTCGTAAATTGCATATCCTATCTTACTATAAAATTGATTCCCACTAACTTTTAAAGCTCAGCATATAAGTGTGGTATATCATCACCCACTAACAATTATTATCTTGAGTATTTTAAATATCATGCAAATATGACATATTATTTATAATTTTATTGTATTTTCAGAACTCAATATATATACAAGTAGTGTCAACTCATTATTTTCACATTATTTAAATATATATATCTACCATTTCTATAATGTATAACATGCATTCATCTATAAATCCCCGCGACAAAGCGCTGGGTATATACTAGTATAAATTAAAAAGTTATGCACGTTTAAAACCATTGTTAGACATTTTACGTATCAGAGCATATATGAGGAGTATATATGTGAAGTAATATATTTTTGTCAAAATCCTAGCTAATTTAAGGACCGTTGATAAAATATAAAACATACACTACGTACCTGTGTATGTTTTTTTTTCTTTATCTTTTATACACATACGTTTTCTGGCTTTTCTCGGTGAACAGTACTACGTATTTGTGTGATGAGGACATAACTAACTCGGATATGACCATGACTACTTTATGTATTCATCAACCAAATATTCATATATTTTATATTAGATTTACTTATTATATATTTGATCAAACGTCGCTATACAATGAGTTTCGTGTGTTTCTTTTACAGAGGTACTTGCTTAGGTGAAGGAGAAGAGACCAAGCATAAGAAATGCATGGATAATCCATCAAGACCTTCTCCAGATCCACTACTATCTCAACACGTCACTTTTGGTCCATAGAAGACAAGAGATAAAGTTTTACACATTTTAGATTCGGATTCGGGCTTCCTGACAACATCAACTTCAAATGAACCTAGCCGCTGATCTAGAATGAATCTCGGGGCCATAAGTACTTGTTGGCAAGTTTATGGAGTCTACTTTCAGATGGTTTTGGTCCCACGTTAATATTCCTACCAAGATGTCGGGAATCTGCAAAACAAGCCACGTACCTTATTCAGTCCGAATCTGATTTGGATCTTGGGCCTTATAATTGTATCGTAGGCTATGGGGTGAGCGCCCTAGGTCAACCCTAGGACATCCTAAATTATATTTATTCAGTAGCCGTCATAGTTTAGGGTTGGGTTTTGCTTAGATTATTTCTGCCATTACAGTTTCGCCGCTAGATCGGTTTGTGAAACTCCAAATTTGAGTGCTTAATTATTCATATGCAATTGTTGCAAACTATATTGTTCTTGTTTGTATTCTTCAATTCGCATGTAGGGATTAGCCTTCTCGGCGAGGTCAACCGGATTTTAGCACGGTTGATAACCAAAGTAGATATGGTGCGACGATTGCAGGGGTTCGGATCGTGTTTATCGGAAGCCGGATCATATGTGTCAAGTTTTTACCAAATCGAGAGTTATCGATACTATCAGAAGATTGGGACCTATTTTCCTCTATCGTTGTCTCTTGTACGTACATGTGAAGGAGATTAGAAGGATTAAGGGATTTTTTTTTGGGTGAACAGAACTACGTATTATTCTCCCCTATATGTCCCTGTCAGGGAGATTAGAAGCGAGGGATTTTTTTTCCGGTGAACAGTACTATGTATTATTGTCTCCTATACGTACCTGAGAGGTAGATTAGACAAAAAAAAGGATTTTTAATAGATAAAATACTATAATGATCCAAAACAGTAGAGGTCCGTCAATTTAAGTAAAAAATCAAGGGCCATATATCTTTTAGGTGAAAGTCAATTTAAGTTAAAATCTAATGGTCAAAATCATATCGATCTTTTCTTTTCTTTGAATTTCTAAGTATTTTCTCTAATTTATTAGAGCGCCATGTAATGGCTTAGAAGTGCTCCGGAGGAAGTTTAATAGAATTTTAGTATATAATAGATGTGCACTTGATTAATTCTTATATATACATATATTAGGATCATTTTATTTTCTTTCCTTGTATTAATTAGCTTTTTGTAGTTTTTTTACTCCCTCTAAATCATAAAGAATAAAACTTTCAGATCTTAATTAGCCTTAATTATTCCCAACAAGTATATTTATTGATATTTCTATATCTCTTCTCTATCATTATAAAAATTAAAGATGTTTTTGCCGGTATTTGGATACGTTATCCGTGTTTGAGTCGGTTTTTAAGGTCGTTAGCTTTTGAAAATATAGATCCGTGTTTGAGTTTGATTTTAAGCTCATTTGATTTTGAAAATACATAAGGAGTCGTATGAGAAATTTCTCTAAAAAAACTCGCATGCTAATGTGAGATGAAAGTCGGACTCCTAATTACGGCTCATGATTTTCTAGACAAATAAATATCCAAACGAATTTCCACAATGAATTTTACCCTAGTTAAACCATATAACAATAATAATATTAAAATAGCATCACCTGTTGCAATGCACGGGTATTTTTTCTAGTATATTATAATAGAAAATAGTGGTCAAAATTATTTCTTGGAGATTGTATCCTAGCCCAAAATGACATGTATTATTGACCTAGAGAAATGACCTGTATTATCGACCTAGAGAAAGTACTTGATTATTCATGCGTCGAAAAGCCTACCGCAATATCCCGTTGGGCTTTTGGGACTACACATAATTTTTAGTCTTGGTTCCTATTTGAACCAAGACTAATGTGATTTTTGCATGTCACAGCAAAAATCACTTATAGTAGTGACAGCAGAAAACGACTGCACCCTAAATGGGTGAGGTACCTGCACTTTGCCGGTCGATTTCTAATGTTCTCATGCACTTCGCTGTTAAGCTGGTATCCCCAGCATATGCTGTTGGTTTCAATGAAAAATATGATCTGATGACCTTTTATTAAAAGTTAAATAAATAAAATGTATGCATGCGCATGTGTATGCTAGTATCTCCTTCCATCAACGCGTATGTACTCCTTCGATCCGTTCCTAAGAGTGTAGTTTCAGCATTGAAGAATATGCCTAAAAATATTGTATCTTATATATATCTATATAGTTCATCTCCTGTAGTTAGAATTTATTCTCTCCTCCCGCAGTTTGTCACATCACTTGAAATTAATCTAGCCATTAGATCCAAAATGGATGTCCAAGATGTTTACTTTCTAACGTGCAGCGAGAATGCCTTAAATCCAAATTTGCTTGGACCATGGCACTCTACCGGTTCATGCATGTTTACACATGCATGACAAGCATTCCACCTTATTATAGCCATACCATTATTATTAGCCACTATCTTTCGGTGGATTACTCATCTTCTAGAAACTGTCCAGCCAGACAAGCAGTGGATTAGCCTCATCCATTGATCATTCAAGATTTCTCACAAATTTCATCTCACATCCATTGTCGAGAGTCATGTCAGTTATCGGTTTCTTACTCCAGTTCAGTGCATTTGTATCATTCAAGATTTCAAAGACCCAAGCAATTTATCTTACATCGATTGTCGGGACTCATGTCAGTTCTCCAGTCTCATCTCACATCGATTGTCAAGGCTCAAGGCAGTTCTCCAGTTTCATCCTCAATTGGTTTGGTTATGTTTCACAATCGTCATCTCTATTCTGCTAATCTTCTGGAGCTGCTCCAACCATGGGTTTCATCTAATATTTCCATCATGAAACTGAAGGTATTTTGCTTTTCATCGTCATTGCTTTGTTTTGGTATCTAATGATGTATTAAAATAGTTACATTATATATGAGCTTAGTGATTAAAATAATATTTGTACAAGTGCTAACTAAATATTTTATCTTAACATTTATTGATGGAAAATCGCTAACATGGAAGTACTGTCCAACAGAACGGCAGAAGATAGCAAGCATGGTTCACTGCTTCACCGTTTTCACTCTGCATTGAAGTTTTTTTTTCTAGAAAATTTGAGTGACTAATATCTCTTTCTTTGCAGCACACTCATATATTGAACCTAAATGTATAGTACTGTACTATTTGATACGCATGTATATTGAGATTTCTCAATTAATATATGCATGACAACTTAAATTCGAAATTGCGTTCATCTTCTTTTCTAACATGTTCTTAAAATGCGCATCCTTACAAAGATAGAAACTATTTAGCACGCAAATATTCCGTAGCAACTTACGGGGTGTCATCTAGTTTTTATACCCTTGAATTGTACTTCTTTCTTCTCCTCGTTATTCCTCTTCACATTAATGAAAGGATAGCTGTTATTTTAACCTCCTGCTTAATATGTTTTCGACTGGTTAAAACGGTAGGTGTTCTAGAGGCAGAGGTAGTACTACATCGGATGATTAATATTGTAAGGAGTGGATTATGAGTATTATATTACTCCCTTTGTTTAAAATTACTTGTTTGTTCTACTCTTTAATCATTGATTGTTAAAAGTTCATATAGTTTGATGTCATAAGGTTTTAAGACTTGGAAAAATATACATATAATTCACTTCTTAGAATAGACAAATTTCGAAAAACTGATGGTTGAAAAAACAAAAATGGTTTGAGTTAGGATAAAAGTAGAACGACAGATAATTTGAAACAAAGTCTGTATTTACCTTGAGGAAAAGAAACAGCTGCATGCCAGACGTTCCGTCCATCTGGTCCGGAGTAGGACAGCTCGCCTTCAGTTTTGTCGAACAGATGCTTTGCAATGCCAATTTCACCCAGTGAGATGGCCAGGTACAATGGGGAAGCAGCCTTCTCATTCGGGTGTTGGATGGCGGCCAGCTGTGGATCGGCGGCCATCAGCTGGTCGATGCAGTCCAGGGCCAGCTGCTTATCGTCCTCGTTGTCGGCAGCAGCAGCAGCTGCACGGACCGCATGGTGCAACGCGGTCTCCCCACGGTTGTTGTGCATTCTCAGGTACGCCACCTCCTTCTCCGCCTTCTCCGCCTCCGTATTTCCGTCGTCGCCGGCGGCCGCGAGGTGGATGAGGAAGGAGATCATCTCGGCGTTCCCGGCGGCCGCGGCGCAGTGCAGGGGCGTGTCACCATTGCCGTTGGGCGCGTCCAGGAGGTGCTTCTCCCTGTAGTAGATCAGCCTGGTGCAGTCGCGGAACTTGTGGCTGTCCCCGCACTCCGCGACCACGTGCAGCAGGGAGCCCCCTCGGCTGTCACCCCATCAAGTGGCGGTGGCGCCGCCGCCGGGAGTGAGGAGGTGACCGGTTCGATCAACATCACCAGCAGCCGCAGCCGCAGCAGGAGGAGTACGCCGGGGAGGCGGGACGACGTCCACGACGACGACGACTCCCTCTGATGTCACAAGTGGATCCATGTTGAGCCCCAGCAGCTCCTTGAGCAGATCGCTGTCGCCGCGGCGAGCAGCCATCAGCAGCTGGGGATCCACTTGTGGCCGTACGGGATCGCTTGCAGGTCCAGCAGCCTGTTGGTCAGCTTCGTTAGCGGCTATATCGGCCATCTAGCGACTAGCGATTGGACGAAGATACTGACTCTGGCCTTTCCGCTAGGCTTGCCTGTTGCATGTTGCATTGTTACCGTCAATCCCGGTTTTAAAAACTGAAAACTTAGTGTACACATTCATAACATATATATCACGAAAGAAATAAAGCCTAAAAAAACAGTACTAGGTAACTTTAATTTTGGTGAAAAAAAAGTTCCGAAAACAAAATATACAAAAACCTAGATCCAAAATCTAGAAACCCTAATCCGCTGCCGCCATCATGTCCGATCCGTTGTCGTTGTTGTGCCGAGGTCACCACCATCTTTGCGTCGGGATCCGCCGCGCTCTATCGTCATCACTCGAGGCCGCTGCGACTGCTATTGTTGTCATCGTCGCTCGAAGTCGCCGAATCCGCGCGGGAGGGGGAGGGGCGAGGGAGGGTGGAGACCAGCAGTGGCAGATCCTACGCTCTCGATGCCCACCAGCAGCGGATCCGGCGTGCTCGAGGCCGGCCAACAGATTCGACACGCTTGAGGCTTGGCGGCGGCGGATTCCGTTTGCCCGAGTCCCGGGGTAGATCAGGCTCACCTAATGCTGCCACCCTCGTTGACAGCAACAACACCACTGCTGCAAATGCCTGAGACCACCACCGTTGCCACCGCCCGAGACTGCCAGCCCCGTCACCGGGAGTGGGGAGGGGGGGAGAGGGAGTGGGAGGAGACATGAGAGGAGTGGGAGATGCAGTGGGAGAGTGGGTAAAAAAAGAGGTGGAGAGAGGAGAGAGGAGAGAGAGATGCGGGAGAGTTAAGTGGCAGAGAGGGGAGAAAAAAGTGGGAAGAGAGAAAGGGGTATAGGGTTAGGCTGTGTTCCCAACTTCTCTCCATCGTTTTCGACGGACACGCTTTTCAAACGGTTAAACGGTGTTTTTTTTTGCAAAAAGTTTCTATATGAAAGTTGCTTAAAAAAATCATATTGATCCTTTTTTTAAAAAAATAGCTAATAGTTAATTAATCACGTGTTAATGGACTGCTATTTTTTTCCGTACGTGGGAGATTTGTTCCCATCTCCTCGTAACGAACTCAACCGTACTTTTTTATGCAGGCCTCTTAGAATGCCCGCATGCGAAAATTGCTTTTCGCTTACGGTTTTTGAACTGTATGTGGGGAGACCGATTTTTGCATGCGAAAGCAGTTATGGTCCGTCTGTAACCTAGAGGGAGTCTCATCCATAAAAACTAATTCTATAATAGTGGAGCCAACCTAATCGACATGCTCATAAGCAGTCAAACCAGGTTTCTATCTTAGACTTATGTTAGGATTTGATTGATTTGTATCTTAAGTTCTTTTATCTTTACCATATAGATATCATCTATATATACAGTTCCTGAAACTCAATACAATAACTCCAATATTTACCAGTAATTTCTCTCCCTATACTGTTCACCATATATATATTTGATAAGCACTCCAAATATTCCACTATTATGCAAGCATACCTTCCTCTCTATTTCTGATATAATTATAAAATTAGGCAAGAGTACGTACCTTATGAACTAGTCATTATTCGGCAAGCCATAATAGGCATACATTTTATGTGCCCTTTTTATATTACGCAAGGGTTGTTTCATGTATGGACATGACTACACAGCTAGTGGTAGGTGGTTTGTCTAAACTAGCTATCACTCCATCTATGAAAGACTCTATCCACCTATACTTCAAATAAAATTTTCTCTTAAACTACTCATCCGATCTACGATCCGATTACACCGTTGTGTTCGTAATAATTAAATCTTTATAACAAGATCTCACATGATTATATTTTGATGAAAAATCACAAATTACTTTTATGATATGTCTAAATTACTTTTAGATTTCACTAAGTTACTTCTTAGACATATAAAAGTAAATTCAGCAAAGCCTAAAGGTAATTTACATATATTAATATAGAAGTAACTTAGAACAAAGAAAGTAACTTTAATGCATGCATTTTTCATTGGACATGACTACACAGCTAGTCGTAGCTGGTTTATACTCCATCTAGTGTCTCCTTTCAAGTTAAAAAATGCAATAGTATATATCTTATGTGTGTGGAAGTTAACATTGAACTTACTTTTAAAATTTGATAAACTTATGTGTGTTGATCTGTACTGATTAAATAAAGTTTTCTATATAAATTCATATTTTATCCCTACAATGAATTTACTTCTAATGTCATGACAAAGTTACTTCCATTTTGTTTTAAGTTACTTTTATAATATATATAAATTACTTTTAGACTTTATTAAATTTACTTTTATATGTCTAAGAAGTAATTTAGTCAAATCTAAAAGTAACTTATATATATGATAAAAGTAACTTACGTATATAATAAAAGTAATTTACAAATATAAATATTTTTTCATCGTAATATAATCATGTAAGATCTTGTTGTGAAGATTTAATTGTAACGAACACAATGGTGTAATTGGATTGTAGATCGGATAAGTAATTTGAGAGAAAACTTTATTTGAAGAGAAAAAAGGCATACATGTCTATCTCAGTCCTTCCTGCTATGTGGGTGTGTCAGCCTGTCTGCAGTCAAGTACTAGTGGAGAAAGCGATAACGTAAGCCGAAAATGAATAGATAACGAGATCGGACGGTCGGAGATGCATCGCGCGATTAGACTAAAATGAGAGCGCGCACTATTTAGATTTTACGTTCATGTAGGGGTGAAAACGGTACGGAAACTTTCCAGACTCCCGGACCTATCTTTGGAAACGGAATATGTCGGTCGGAATTTTTCGGAAACGGAAACGGATTTAGAAATATTTTTTCGGAAACGGAAACAAAAATGATAATGGCAGTTTCCGTCGGAACTCAGAATCGGTCGGAAACTTTCCGGAATTTTTCTCGAAATTTCCAGAAATCACAAAATACCTTGAATTCTTTTTTTAAGCACTGAATAATTAATACCATGGTGTTTAGCTGTTACTTTTTTAAAAAATATTTGTTATGCAAATCTAAAATTACAGAAGAATATTTTTTTTCCTGCATTAGGATTTATCATTAGCATTACTAATTTATTCCATAGATTATGTTTTATGATGAATTGTATGATTATGTTCGTTTTCGCTCCGTTTTTTTGGTTTCGATAATATTCTATTCCGTTTTCATTTCCGGGGTTTCCGATTCCGATTTCGATTACGAAAAAAATATGAAAACGAAAACGATAAAGACGATTTCCGTCCGTTTCTGTACCGTTTTCACCCCTAGTTTCATGGATTTAAAAGCACTACTGCAAAATCGATTTTTCATGACACCACTATATTTTTTTCTCTAGCAGTTATAAGTGGAAACCACCAGCGAAAATATTACGAGAGGTGGGAGGCTATGAACCGCCAGCGAAAATAGATCTTTGCTGGCGATCAGAATAAGAGGGCCGCTAGCAAAAATATAGCTATTTTTGCTATCGGCCCACTTAAATAACCGCTTGTGAAAATATGATTTTCGATGGCGGCCCACTTTACTCGCAGACAGCGAAAATAGATTATCGCTGGCAGTTATTTTCATATGCGGCCGGTAAAGAGGAACACCAGCGAAAATAAATTCGCCATATTAACCAACCGCGTCCAACCCTAGGTCTCCTCTCCTTTTCTCTAGCGAAAATAAAGGCTCCGACTCCCTCAGATCTGGTGCGCCTGTCTCCTCCTTCCTTCCTCCCTCTCCCTCAGTCGTCGGTGCGCGGCGGCGGGCCACGGGTGGCGGCATCCACCAGTCCTCGCCGGGGGGCTCGGCTGCGGCGGAGCTCGTGTCGCGGTGGTGGATCCAGCAGCGCATCTGGCGGGCTCGGCGGCGATGACGACACGGGCGACGGATTTGGCGGGCTCGGCGTCTTGTCTCGGCGACAACGATGGCATGGGCGATGGATCCGGCGGGCTCGGAGACGACGATGGCGCGGGCGACTGCTCCAGCGGCGGGCTCTCTTCTCCCTCTCCCTCCTCCACCGCTGCCAGCTGCCCTCGCCACCACCGTTGCGAGCTCGGGGCCGGCCGGATCCGGCCGTCGCGATGACGGGGGAGGCCGGATCCACCGCCGCTGCGGACGGGGGCAGCGCCACGATGAGTGCAATTTTTTGTTGATTTTTGTGATGCTTGAATGCTTAGGTGAATGAAAAATTTTGACTGTAAATTGTTGGTGTAAATTTCTGTAGATTTTTTAATGCTTAGTTAATTTTCTGTGAAATTTTTGAATGGTCGAGCGTTAAGGGAGACGGAGGGACGGAGCTCCTTTTTAAAAAGAACTTGGCGAGCATTTTCATCGGTTCTCTCTGTTCTCTCGTCTCTCGCTGCTCTCTAGTGATTCGCCGGTTCTACGTGGCACGTTCTCTCAAGATGGCCGGACATATGTGAACTAGGAAGGACGATGAAGGTGGTGAGGTGCAGCAACTCACCTTGCTTTGGGTTGTCGGAGGAGATCGACCGGTCGCTGTCGAGGCAGTGGTGAAGCGGAGCAGATGCGGAGCCGAGCGCGAGTGCACACCAGGTGCTCGACGATGGGCACCCGCCGGTGTCCTTCTCCCTCCCAGCTTAATTAGAGAATGCGGTGGAATGGCTCGTGGTCAAGGTGTGGAGCAAGAGAAGCAGACGAGCTCCTTCACATGGGAATGGGGCGCGGTGTGGAGGCAGAGAAGAGAAACGCCGACGCGGCACGGTTGCACTTGCACTTCCACGCCAGGCGGGGTCTTTAGCGGGGTCATTTTGCCACGACGTCTTCGCGAGTCGCGACACGACGACCCAGCTGGGGTGGGTGGGGCTGGCTTGCGAGTGGCTGCAGGTGCCCGGGCGTGTGACTTGGGCGAAGGCGACGCGACGGAACGGCGCCACGCGGGGCCAGCATGTCAGTGGCGCTGTGCGAGCTGATGGGGCAGCGTTCCGGTGCGACGCAGCGCGCCACGTGGTCTCCTAGTCGCTGGGGTCTTTTTATATACTACTCCGTGTTGTGTGCCCGTGCGTTTGAACGGAAAACAAAACAAATCATGTTCAAAGCTAGATATTCACCCTACTACTGATAACCCTTTCATAATTCATCAAACGTGAATGAGCCATGAGAGCTACTTCCTCCATTTCAAACTCCTCCATTTCAAACTGTAAATTAATCATTCTAGCATTTCTCATATTTATATTATGTCTAGATTCATTAACATCAATATGAATATGAGAAATAGTAGAATGACTTACATTGTTAAACGGAGGGCGGAGGGAGAGTAGTATTTTGTTATACCAAATGATATTGTTTACGAATCAAAAGATGTAACGTATTAAGCGAATTATATGGCATGATTAATTTTCGATAATCCAGACACAAGTATTTCTTTGTAGCCAAGGTGCACCTTTTCGATTTAGTGTCATATCCAACCCTCAGTAATACGACATTTTTCACCAAGTTTTGATATATTTTTTTATCTAATATCAATTGATATTACTATTTCAAATTTGAATTCTTGAATACCATTCGAAATCTCACTTAGAATCTACTCTCCTACGTGTTGAAACCTCGAAATTTCACGGTTTTTATAGGCTCTTTTGCACTATGATAATGTATCAATATTTAAATTTGAAGAAGATGAGTAAAAATTTAGATAGCAGTTAGCATAACTCATCATCTAAATATGATTATTCTGTAGATGGAATTTGTCAATTGCATATCTTGACCAATCGAACTATCGCCCTGTTTGGGGAGCTTAAGATTCTGAGAATTTGCTAGTTGATAGCTAGCTTCTGAAAATCTGGAGAAGTTAGGTTTTCTAGCTTCTGGCTTCTAGGTCATTTTCTGATTTTACAACTACAGATTCTTAGAATTTAGGTGACAATTTGCACTGTTTGGAGGAGCTGAAGATTCGGAGATAACCTACAGCAGCTAGAAGATTTCCCAAACAAGCCCTATATGGCACTCAATATCGTGCCACTCCATTGACCTCACTACATGAATCACAACAGACTGCAACATGGATTGCTTACTTAAAAAACTAAAAACAAAAGAATCCAAAATTTAGGGGAGTCTGGCAAGGTAGTGTAAATAGCTTCGGCACTCTATTTAGTTGCTTGTTGACATTTTTGCTAGGGCTAAAAACCCTCAAAAACAAGCATTACTGACAGGAAGTATCAAAATGTTGGGTAAAAAGGTGACTCCCCGAAAAAAGTTAAAAAGGTGGCTCACACACCCTAGTATGTCAAAGCCAATCTGTGTAAAGCTCGCCACATATTGATTTTCTAATAAGTAATTTGCAGTCAAAAAAAATCAAGGGTGTGTTTAGTTCACGCGAAAAATGAAAGTTTATTTGAAATTGAAATGGTATGACGGAAAAGTTGAAAGTTTGCGTGAGTAAGAAAGTTTTGATGTGATGGAAAAGTTGAAAATTTAAAGAAAAAATTGGAAACTAAAACAGGCCCAAGTACTGCCTTAACTATTCTCGGTTTCTAAAGCTCTCCTAGAAGTTCTTATTTTCACATCTGTACATGCCTTCAGAAGTCAAAACACAAACTGGCAAAGGTCTTCCGAGCACACCCTGTACCCGTACTTCGCTCCTTGACTTGTAAACATTCTACCTATGAGCTAAAATGTTTACGAAAGTGAAGTACATATCATATAGAGAACAGAAAGGATGAATGGTTTAATATGTTGTCAATTAAAAAATTGGAAAGAATTAGAACGCTAACCTTTTTGTTTTAAAAAGAACATATTATTCCTTTGAGCTTAGGCCTTCACTTAGGCTCTGTTCTTTTGGTTGAGTTGGGAACCCATCCTCCGGTACGGAAAACGAAGCAGTCCATTAGCACGTGATTAATTAATTATTTGCTAATTTTTTTTTTCAAAAATGGATCAATATAATTTTTTTAAGCAACTTTCGTATATAAACTTTTTACAAAAAACACACCGTTTAGCAGTTTGAAAAACGTGCGCGCGGAAAATGAGATGGGGGAGTTGGGAACTCCAGGAAACGAACAGAGCCTTACAGCTATTTTTCATTTCACAATTGAAGGCAGCAAAATGAATCACTGAAACATATAAAAAAAAACTGCTTACTCCCATCTACGGAAACAAAATTGAGAGCACTTATTTATTTAATATATGTATGTACTCCAACCAGAGAATCCATGACGCTGCAACACAGTACCAATATGTCCTTAAAAATGTTAGAATTAGAATTGAACAAAGACCCTATGAAACAAATTGAGGGTGCCACCAGACAAAATAATCTCACCCTCCTGATTTTGCATATAAAAATTAAAAAGTGAGATGTAATCATATAAATAATGAAAACACTTCCATTTTGGAGTGAGGACGAAGAGATTGGTATCTGAATTGAACCAGAAATTCCAAAGCAAAACATGATTGTCCAACTTCAGATTTCGAACTAAAAGGAATTCTTAAATACATATATGATACGCTCCCTCCATTTCAAGATATACACTTTGTACCACAATAGAAGCATCCGCACTGATTCCCATCGCTTCAATTATTCCAGAGCCAATCAGATGCTTTGGAAAGGAATTTAATCAATGCAAAATTCAAAAACTAACAACTGAAGTAACTAAAAGAATCTTTTGAGAAATCCCTATATTTAGAACGGAGGGATTATATGATCAATTTGTTGATCCATCATTCCAACAAATGAAAACTAAAAAACGCTAATTAGTTAAGTGATGGGAGTGGCAGCTGGTAAGTTTGGCATCGGTTGCGCCAACAATTACCCAGGTGCGGTGGTGCCGGCGCGCGGTGCAATGCCGTCAACCAGAGTTCGTCACCTAGAAGTGAGAGGACCGGCGTAGGGGGCGGCGGACTGAATGGCGGTCAAGGACCTGATGACAACGGCGCTCGCTGCAACGACAGCTAAGCCAAGAGCTATCATAAGCATCCATGCCAATTTTATATGTAAGATCAATATGTGTTTTGATTCTTATTCTATGATGAATAATTGGTATATGTGATTATTGGTTTTGATATTTGGAGATTATCGTCGAAGTGGTTTTGGAGATAATCAATTTTCAGGTGATGAACAGGGTTTGCTGTTTTGTCGGACCGGTCAGACCGGGTGGAGGTTGCTGGTCAGACCGGGTGGAGGTTGCCGGTCAGACCGACGCTATGTGTGCGGTCAGACCGACTGGCCCGCGGTCTGACTGGCCGACTCTGTGTCAGTTTCGGTTTCGGGTTGTTTGTTTGGATATCCGTGATTGTTTCATGATTATGACTTCTAGGTGGATACTATATGTATGTAATACTGTTGTTTGCTACTAATGAGTCAAGTTGGAGATAGCTTGGTCTCGAAATATGGTTTCTTTGTTTATTTCATGTGTAGGTGACTCGTTGCCTCGGGAGAGTATTTGCGGTGATGGACCGGGAGTCGGCTTGGGGATAAGACGACGTCCGTGGTGGTCAGAGATCATACGGGATACTTAGGCTAGAGTTGATGCACGTGGTTGATGGAGATTCCATATGGCATACGATGGAGGTATTGTGTGCGTATGGGATGCGGAGTCGAATTTGGAAGGAGTCCAAATTTGGTACGATTGGTTGGTTATGTAAAGTTTGTTTCTTGTACTAGAGGGTTTACTAAGGTGTTTAGGACTCTTAGTATGAGTTTGGTTCGTGGCTTTAGCCTGTCTACCTCATGTATAAATAGAGGGGGAGCGTGAGGCTTCCCGGTATCGCTTTTGAAAGCAATTGAGTTGCTAGTTTAGTTAGGGTTTCGAGTTTAGTCGAGATTTTTGTAAGGAGTGCTGTTGATGTACTTTGTAAACACAGAGAGAAGCAATAAAGTTGTCATCTACTTTGAGAGTTCTTCGATTTGTGTTTCACCGGGTTTCGACGGTCTAACCGGCGGCTCAGCGGCGCTCAGACCAGCGACGCACCGGCGGTCAGACTGGCTAGGGCGAGGCGGTCAGACCGGCGGCGACATCAGGCGTGGCAGGGATTCCAGGGCAGTCCAACCGGAAGATCAACACCGGTCAGACCGGCGGCTACGCTTCGGTCAGACCGGCAGATCAATCTCGGTCAGACCAATCTCCATCGATTTCGAGGGTAACTTTTATTTCCGCTAAAAGATTTTATTTTTTGGGTATACCAACCATTCACCCCCTCTGGTTGGCTTAGTTCTTGTGTTTCGATCCTACTTTATAAATCTAAAGATTTGTTTGTACGCATGCCACTGCAGAAATTGTGCAGTAGTATATAACTTCACTTTATTAGGCTGTCTGTTACTACCCTCTCAGACCACAACCCTTTCAAACCATGAAAGGCATTCAACAGGGAATGTGGTTAACACGGGACACCATATCTAACACTCCAATACTCCATCCTCCAGAAGCATGTACAATTCAAATATAAGGAACTAAAGAGTACATTTCATTTTTGTTTCTCTATTGACACGAACTCCAAAAAAACTATAGCAAATACCTCGATTATTTTTGACATATTAATGTAATTATGTTAAGGTAGCTATAAACCAATTGTAATCTAATTTTCATTTAAGAGAAAACATTATTCTGAAACCAACAACAAGGCTAGCCAAATATTGTGTGTATCTTACTTCTTTAATAAAACATATGCACAAAACGAGATAGAAAATGTACGGCTCACGTGAGAACTGTTTACATACCCACATTGCCATGGCTGAGAAACCACAATACCACTCCATTAATCT